CAAGCATTTGTTCATCGTATTTTTAGTCAAGTATGGCGAACTCTCCTACAATCCATTTTCAGCTTAATTAAACAACACTTAGGCTTAAGGGCTTTAATTAGGACATTGCAGAAAAAGAAATATGTCAGCGTTCGCAGCAACAACAACAACAGCAATAGCAAAATCAAAAATAAATAATTTATAATATTTTAGGCTTCAATTACTGCCAAGCGACTTAACCCCAAATACCTATGTGCGTATACATTATTTATTTATTAATATGGCACAATACAATATGATAACGTATTGTTATAAATTCTTAGCCATAACACAATGCGTACAAAGGCATAAGGAATACATAGATACACAAATACGCAAAGGCATACGTCTATCTATATACTTATATGTATAGGTGTATATATAATCTGGCAAGTACAGTTGATCAGCTAGATTATAAATCTTCTGAAGACTAGCATTTTTGCAAAATGCAGCGAACATATGGGGACAGAAAATCGATTGTAATTGACAGTCAAAATGGATTAATTAAATTACAATTACTGCTATGATGAAACAATAGTAGTGACCTATAATTATATTGTTTCACGTTATCGAACACGAACATTAATTAAGAAGAAGAAGAAGAAAAAGAAGTCTCAAAGGACTATTATCCGCCTGAGTAGCCGAGTAGACAAGAAACGCGACTACCAAGCCAATGGTCGCGAGTTCTAATCTTAGTGCGGAGGAGCATAGTTGAGTGAGCGCTCAGTTCGCAACCAATCCCTATCTCTGTCTCTTTTCTCATCCCTTTCGGACTGTCAGCTTATTTGTTAAATCTATAGCGTATATCGTCTAAGGTATTAATCACACTAAAAACAAAACCAAAAAAAAAAAAACAAGGAAACAAGGATAATTAATATATGAATACAACTCCTAGCAAATCTGCTCTAATTTCTAGACAAAAGGTTTTCTATGAGTTTCTAAAAGGAGGTACATAAGAAAGTCGTGGGAACAGTCCTAACTTAAACCCTGTGAAGCAAACGATTAGGCAGGATATTAAATTTTCTGAACTGTAAACGTGCTGTACGAGATTCAAAATTGATATTCATCCGTGTGGCTCTCATACCGTTGCCCATTTGTATATAGCTATCGTTCGCCAAAGTTGCGGACGATTAAATCTCATTTATGCATTTTGCAATTAATGGACCAGATAGATAAATGGGAGTGGTCAGCAAAAACGTCTAGCTAGACCCAAGCTGAAGGATGGAATATTCAAAAAATGCATTAAGAGTAGCAGTAAGTCCCGACGACGATTAGTTAAACATCGCATTTTCGATTATTAGAACAAATTGGTTTGCTTGCAAAATTTAATTAAAGATGATTTCTGAGAAATTGTGCTTATGACTAATATTCTAATCTCGTAACTTTCAATGATTTTATTTTCATAAAGGTTTGCTTTTTACACAGTTGAATGAAGCTCCTTCTTAAGCTCTATTATTATTATTATTATAAATTTAGCCAGAGAATAAATTCTAAGACTAAAGTCTTAAAGCACTAGCATCTGGGGCTATCGGCTTAAGTTCTATTATAATGGGTTGCAGTTAGCTAAGAAGAATGATGGATCGGTTTTGTAAGCTTTCTTTCATAATTTCTTCTTGCCATAAAAGCCATAAAACATTAAAAGACTCTTGCGGAGTTTTATTTGAAATCTCTTTCTATTCAACCATTTTCACAATTAATATATAAGTTGACTACGGTTTCAACACAAAAGCATTACTTCAAAATATTGTCAGATTGTAATGAAATTTGCTTTAAATCACATAAAAACGTATAAATCAAATACAAATGCACGTACAATCAACAATCCGGCAAGCAATTCAGTGAAGAGTGAAGAAGACCTTAAGAATCCGATAATTGCATAAAAGGAATAACAGAAAGTACATGTAAGGGTTCATAAACTTCATACGGTATGGACATAACAATATACATATATATATACGTGTATTCGTGTACATTTGTGTTTATAGGTTAAATACACAACAGTGTGTAAATTATAGTATGCGAACGTATGGTTTGATTTTACGCACTTCACACACATACCTTTAATTTGCCGAGCATGCTGAAAGCCGTATAGAGATTGTAGTAAAAATTCGGTTTCTTTTGCTTCGCCATGCAGGTGTGTGTGTGTGTGTGTGTGTTTGCATATGTGTGTTCTTGCATGTAAAACTGGTCAACGAAGTAGTAAAAAGCTTATAAAATAAAAATAATACTGTCCTAGGACAACAAAATGTTCTTGCAATTAAATGAGAGCAACCGAAAGGGCTGAGAGAATTAAGCTGATAGATAGAAAGAGAGAGAGAGAGAGAGAGAGAGAGAGAGAGAGAGAGAGAGAGATAGAGAAAAGGAAGAAATAATAATATAGGAAAAAAATTAAAAAAAAATATGGAGAGAGCACGAGTTTCTCTCTGAAAAGCTTATTAAGAAAGGGCTCCTTTCTCTCTCTCTCTCTCTCTCTTTTTCTCTTTCTCCTAAATGTCTCTCCCTCTCTCTCTCTCTCTCCTCTCGTATGGTTTAGCTGAGTTTCTTTTACATTTATTTTGCTTTTTCTCTGCCCCATCTGTCTTTCACTCTCCCATGAAATTTCTCTCTTTGAATTTCTCGGGCGTACAAACTTATCAAAACAAAAGTTGTGATAATCAAGCCAACAATAAGAACAATTATTGTGTTTTACAAGGATTATCTTTTGTTAAATTATTTGTTATTTGTTATTTATATAGCTTTGTTTGTTTTACTGTTGATTCGCATCAAACGCTTATTCATGCACTTATGCATATACTACAGTACAAGAACACTTTTACGATTTTTTGTAGAGTTTTTAAATTATGGTTTTACTTTTGAAAAGGAATGAAACTTAGAGCACTCATGACCCTGAGAATTTATGTTTTTCTCCATATGTTTTCATAAATTTTTATGCGTTCATTATGTTAAGGACAAGTTTTTCATCTTTTCTTTTTTTTTTTTTTTTATCTATATATTTATTATCCCATAAAATGGCCGTAAGTTTCGCATTCACTGATAAGTAAAGAGATTTCATTCAAACTTGCTGTTCGAATAGGGGAGAAAGATTTATACTCCGGAAAGTTTGTGTATTCCCTATCGAGGAGTGAATCAATTTATGCATACCTGTCTGTCCTGCTAATTGACTCTAGCATCGCTATTGCGATCTCGAAACTTATGTAGAGGAGCAAATGTGATCTGGAATTGTTTCTTATGACTGCCCGTGAGTTAAGACAGAATATCGGATCGGTTAGCCCTTGTGGCATACACAAATTTTAAAAATACTGCATATTTCTTCTTTTTGTGCAACATTGCAAAGCTTTGAGTCTGGAGCTTTCGACATTGCATTTTCCTTTCATGAAACTCAATTGCTTGAAAGTTAAGTAATTCGTGGTAAGAGTTCCATCGCACTTTTGAAAGGAAGGTGAACATAACATAAATAATGTTTTTAGTTTTCGCAGTCATCTGTATGGTCTATGGTAAGTTTGCCATTCCATTGACAAGCAAATCTATTTTCTAGCAGGCTACGCAATGTAACTAACCGTAGATGCATTCAAAAACGGACTCGGGGCTGACAGTTGTCCACTTTTTGCGTACACTGTGAGTTACTGAAACGGATGTCTATGCGGAACATTGCGACTCTTGGAATTTCATGCTGCACGAGTTTTTAGATATTTACAACACACTATACTATGGATTCACTTTTTAGCTTCCCTAACCGGCTATAGATTATCCACTTCGTTACAATTATTAAGCAATTATTAAAATCGGGGGACAGTTCGAGAACAACTTTTCTTCCTTACAAGACTAATCTGTTGCGTTCACATGGAAATTATCTGCCTTCTCTGCAGTGTATGCTATGGAACGTTCGATGATATCGTTTAAATAAATATTATATCTTAATATTTTTGGTTCTTGTGGTCTTCCTAGGCATACGGCTGGCCAATTATATCTCTAATAAGTTTGTGCTCATAAACTGTGGCACTTTTAAATAAATCTAAAATGTTGTCTTTACAATCTATAATCCCCTGATAAATCATAAAAAATGAAGCATATGAAATGAAACTGTTATCTAGTGTTGCGCCATTTCTAACTGGACATTGAAAGTAAAAAGATTTCCCTTTAGTTTACGCTCAGATCGATTTCCTGCAACTGCCAAATAGTTGCCGATGCATGTCTTATAAATATCGCCCGTTACTGTATTCTGATAAGGAAGCGAGCTTTTTCATTCTCTCTTGATTAGTAATATAATTACAGTTTGACAACCATTGCTTATGAATAACATTACTTGTGATATTTTTTGGCGCGAACCTTTATATGCACGAACATTGTATTTGCTTTTGTCTGCTGTACCATTAAGCGCTCTTTCTCTTACAAATACAACTTGAACTCTCAAGTTAAAGCACGCACTATGCTCTTCAATCTTGATGGTATAGGAAAACTGAGCTCTAACTTTACATGTAAACTGAATACTCCCGCAATCGGTGGTATATTGTAGAAAGAACGAAAACATGAATGACAATAACAGTAATAATAATAACAACAACAACAACAACAACAATAACAATTATCGACACCAAAATCACAACATAAACGAATGAAATCTTATGTTTTTGCTTTATTCCTGTTTTTTTTTTTATTTTCTGTTGGTCTCTTTTTTTTTGTTTTTTTTTTTTTTTTTGTTTTATTATAGTATAAACGTAACCAATACAAAAACCGAACGCTTGCAAAAGGATACAGTAGTTAACGAAACAGTTTGCAACGAACAACCGAAACGAACGGTAATCTAAGAGCGGACGTTTTATTTATATATATATATATATCCGAATAGTGTTTGAGTGACAATAATATTAAAATACAAAAAATTATTAATAAAAGAAAAAATAAAATAATAATAATAATAATAATAAAAATTTTAAAAGTGCGTGTTAAAGCTTTAAAAATTATATATATAAAAAAATTAAATAAATAAATAAATAAATTACCGAAAAAAGTTAGAAAATAGTTTATTAAGAAAATAAAGAAATCTAAGAAGATAAGCTAATGAAACTTTTCAAGTCCAAAAATTGTAAGTGAAGTGTAAGTGCCATCTCTCATTATTAAAATAGAAAAAAAAACAAACGGAGAAAATTCTTAAAAAACAAAACAAAAAAAAAAAGACGTAAAAAGGAAAGCATTGCAAGTAAAGCCTAACACGTTATGGTAGCAAGTAGTTGTAGGAAACCTCTTTAAAATGAAATTTTTTAAGAGACAATTTAATGATATTAGAAGCCCTGTTTCCATCGGAACGCGGTGTTAGCTCTGCTGCACATAAACAATTCCTACATGTTAAATGTTGTTTGGTTGCTAAGCTTAGAACGCGTACCAGCAACCAAGTGCTATCTACATAGTACAACTTGAAATTTTGTAAATGCAAGCAAACACCTAAGCCACATACATAACATACATCTGCGAGCATAACTTAAGTTAGAAATGGTAGAAGAAACAAAAAAAAAAACAAAAAAAAAAAAAAAAAAAATTCAAATCACGAAAAATTTAACATAGCATGTAAAAGGGCTTTTCGAGGATTTTTGTCAAGAAGAAAAAATAAATTGTATGGAATGAACATGAAGCATAAAAAGAAAGAAAGTTATATATATACATATATATACTTAAAAAGATATGAATTAAAGGAAACTAAAAACTTTACATTTCTGTTTTAAGCATGAGTTGGTTTGTTAGCACCCCCCTTCCCCCCACCCGCCCCCCAATATCTTCGCTTCGTTTCTACTCCTTGCACCCGATGTAAGAACATAAGACAGATATTGTTAAAGGCAAAAGAAAGAAAAGCATGCAACAATAGCTATGCAACGCATTAAACCTTTATATAGTTTAGGTATTAACATAAGAAAACGAAGACGAAAAAGAAAAATAAAAATAAAAATGGGAAGAAGAAGAAGAAGACGAACAACAAGAAGAAGAAGAAGAAGAATGAAACGTCTACATATGTATTTAGTTGCATGTATAAGCTTTACTGCAATTCATGGCATATAAAGGAAAAGTTTACTTAACGCAAGTGCCAGGTAATGGTGCCTGACTAAATGAGGGTTTAGTCAAGCGGATTGGCAAAGTCATACATTTATTTATCAAAGCAAATGTGTTGCTTACGATTTTATTATAAAACGTAAACCTAGGGGAAGAAGACGAAACTCTGCATTTACACACAAACGCACACATATACTTATATGTGTACACTTATATGTGTTACACTTATTATATGCGTACATGAGAAATGCATTTAGTGAAGCGAAAGTATGTTGAATTGATGATGATTGTTGTTGTTTATATATATATATATATATATATTTACTATATATACATATACTATATAAGAGTTGTACTTGAACGGCAAACGAAATTTCCGTTTCCGCTAATTGTATGAATTTCTTTTTAATTTTTTTTTTTTTCATTTTTCTTCTTCTTCCTTTTCTCCTACTATTAATATCATTTTTGGTATACGTAAGCATTATAAATGTTTAAATGCTTACCTAAGCACTTTCGTATTGACTTTTCCATTAAAGCAAAAAAAAAAAAAAAATTAAGGTAATTTTTCAAAAACGAAAGAAAGCTCAACACGCACACGCTCTTACTAGACACTAGACGATTGCAATAAGGCAAAGCGAAAAGAAAACAAAATAAAAAATGAAATTTAAATTGTAAATAGTCTAAAAACTATCGAGCTTCTTTATAATTACTTTAGATTTTAGCATTAACTCGCGCTATCCTTAGCACTAGGCTCGATATTTTTTCAACTACCGAATAATTCTTTTATACATACAAATTTTTCATATTTATATGTATGTATAATGTGCACTATGTACCTTAGCTTATAGTTGATAATGACGTGATTACTTTTCGTCCCCTAGTGTATAGCCTCAAGTCCATAGTTTACAAATAAAATTTTGGCCTTGCGTTTTTTTTTTTTTTTTTATTTCTATTTTCGATTTTTTGTTTCTCTTCAAACTCTTGAAATTTTATTCCAACTTCCGTTATAAAAAGGGAAAAATGAAAAGAAAAAAAAAAAAAAAAAACAAACAAAACAAAGCGAAGCCATTTCTAACATATTTTACGTAAGTATGCAACTGAAATGTCATTTAGAGTAGATTTGTTGTTTTCATTTCACATTCATTGTTGACTGGCTCCGCATTTCTTTGAAAAGGTTAAATTAATATTTCATTTAAAGTGGCCATAAGCCAAAATAATAGAGATTTCGGTATACTAAGTTTAGAGTAAATCTATTGAATGCTAGGGTTAAGGTCTTCTAAAGATAGTATGTATCAAATGAACGATTTACAAGAGCTTTCGAATAAAATTCAAAATATTTTCTTTTCTGTTTTTTTCAAATAAAATTATTATCTATTTGCAAATGAAATGATTGTTTGCAACTAATTTGAACATTGAGTTATATAATAAAGAATTAGTCCTAAGGTATTTCTATCTTTCGAATAAAAGCAATTGAAGTAGCAATTGAGTTCTGCGGCCGGTTCATGGTTCTTACTATAGAGTAAACTGAATCGCAACTTGATCATACAACAGCAGCAGATCAACAGCAATTTTACGATTGAAAGACTTTTCCATTCTATACTAGAAGAAATGCATACATGGACAGCTGTTAACCCACTACGCGTTACAGCGAGTCCGTAACACACAGCTCGATTTCGAGAACCATAACCACTGGCCGTTGAAGGTCTTTAAACAAAGCCTTTTTCGTACCAGCTTTTATTGCTGGTGCTTGTAGGCTTTTACGATCATCAGCTGCTATTGAGCTTTATGAGCCTGAAAGCATTGCTTTCTTTGTCTATCATTCGAATGACTTTTTGTAATTGCTACGATTCCATGTAAACTTGGAAATGATTATTATGCCGGCTAAAGCAATAATCGGAATTTTAACAATAATTATTTGAATGTTTTCAAATATTTGTTCGATAGACTTAGTGCTCCTAATATAAAATAAACCTAATATTAAAGCTAATTAATACAGCTACGCGTAATTAGCAAATATTTGAAATCATTTCTTCGGTCAACAATTATTGACCAGAAGTTTAAATGCGATTCGTGAAGCCATGGTCGTAGTTCTTTTTAATCGAATCCGGAGTTGCGGAATTGAAATTTATGAAATTTTATACAATTTTACGCGATCACTCTATAGAACTTAAATGTTATATCTGTGGACAGACAAAGAGATATGGTTAACTCGTCGCAAAGGTATGCGTTAGCCACGAATATGCATACTTTACTTATATCTGAGACCAAAAACAGCAGGTCCTTATTGCACATTGTGCATAGTTCCCATTAAAGAATTGCGTTCACTTTAGTTTAGTCGAATAATGGGATCTTGAGAATACCTAAGCGGTATCTACACTTTCGAAAATTTAACATATATTAGTTTTAAACGCAAAGAGTGATGACAATAAAGCTGTTCTTGAAAGATTTCCTAAACTCAGGTTAACTCTCTCAGAGGAAAGGTTCCCACAACTCAGCCTCAGCTAAACTCTCTCAGAGATAAAGGTTCCCTATAAAGCCGTTTTTCGAATTCTTGAAATCCTATGAATTTATGCAGGAAACTCATGGTTATGTTTATTTGATATCTACATATTTGAATGACACATAAACATATATAGGAGACTGAAGCCATTATAGTGAAAGATTAAAAATTGTGAAGGATACTGATCTACTATTTACTAAGCCTACTGCAATATGTCAAAAGCGCCATTCTGATGTACGTTTCAATGTATTTTCGTATACGTTGCATGTATAAATGTTGCTCCGGTTGGGATTTCGGTTCACTTTCGGATCAAAAAAGCTTGAGTAAAAAAAAAATCTTTAGAGATTTGCTCCTTCAATTTTCCTTTAAGTCAAAAATTGCAGCCAAGTGTAAACGGGTCTCAAAACGAATTCAAAAAGGAAAGATTCTCTTATCGAAATGTAGCTTAAGCAGTATAGAGCGACTTTAAGATAAATATTTGAAATATTTTGTTGAAAAGTAATTTTACGCTCTTAAGTTAACATAGCTCCCCAATTATAATATTAGTAATAGAAAAGAAAAAAAGGAAAGGAAAGAAAAAATAGTGAATAAACGAATTGCCTTGAAACGAGGAAAGATTGTTAACTTTTCATTTTTTACTTGTGTTGCTTTAGAGCTTATGCAATTAATGGCATAAAGATGAACAATCTATTCAATCGTAAATGATTAAATATATTAAGTTTGTGCGTACATGTGCAACATTCACAAGAAATTGAGCGAGACTCATCCTTTTATAATTACCGATCGATTCGGAATCACTTTCTGAAGCGATTGGTCTTTTCTGTCCGTACGTCTACTTTCTTTTCTTGAATTTAACCTACAGGCTGCAACTTCTCAGACATTTTGATCATATTTGATATATTGGTTTGGAAAATCGTTTGGGTCGGAATATTTTTTCGACCAGTGCTTACATAATGCCTTATTTTGAAAAAAATTTTTATGCGACTAACTCTAGAATAGTGTATCGCGGCCCATAAGAGTGCTTATGCACTTTTTTTTCTTAAAACTATTTTGTATTTTTGACAGTAAAGTAAAGAATTTCATCTATAAAAATCAATGTATACAGAATGGTGTCTGTAAACAGAATGGTGTAGAGCACAGATAACATGCAAACTTGTCTTTTAGCCCGTATGTAAAGCTCTTCTTAAACCGTTTCTTAGCTAAGAAAGTTTGAAATTATTATAATTCTGATGTGAAAACCTAGGGTTGCTTTATTTGTTCCAGTTTCTTAGCTTTTGAAAAGGAACCTGTGTGCAGGTTTAATCCTAACCTGAAAAATTCAATGAAAAACTTTGAATATAAAATTTCCCATTGTCTTTGCTATAAGTTATTATTTTCCAAATTTAGTAAGAATTCGTAGGCTTTCATATTCAAAATTCAAAAAACTGTTACGCCCTGCTAGCTAAGCACTAGCTTTGTCTAGATATTGAAAAGCGTTTGTCAATAAAATCTGAAAAATCTGCCGGCTACAGCAGTCTGTCTTTTCTTATGTTTTGTAATAAAATTAAACATGTAT